TCTTCCTGTTCTTCCTTTATTTCTCACATCTCTTTATTTCGTACATTTTAAATTAAACACTCGATCCGGAAACGTGGCAATCTATCGAGAATAATAACAGACACGTGCGAGACAAACCTTTAGTTCTCGCATTTTCATCGTCATATCGAACGATTAATCGATCGTTCGCATTGCGATGTTAAATTCGAGTTTTGTATATCACTAAAATTGAATAATTCGAATAAGAACTGCATGTGCGTACGAATACACAACAATCATCAGTTTTCTGCGATAACAAAACAATCATTTCCACAATTCGTCGCGAATTCCCGAATTCCCGTTCCGGACTCGTGTGTCATCCTTGTGACACACTATCTATCCGATGCCTTCATTTTTGCACTCGTGATTTGACTCGAAGGAAGCGCTCCGTCGTTCTTTTCCGTTCTTTTCACGGGTGACGCAAGAACTCTCCCCGAAGGACGTCGTTAAGACGAACATTCCCTGAGTGTTTCTTAGACGTCGCAGGATGTCATGTATCCTTACCATGGATGCCGACATTCCTCGGATATATTCCTTAAACGTGTAATCTGTAATCGTCTCTCGCATTCTCGCGACGCATTCAGGCAGCATTTTGTCGGTCGTCAAGTTTGGAACGCGATTTTCCGTCAACTTAATGCGCGCACAACTGAGAAAATCAGTCGTGACAAGCCGAGGAAACACGAAGGCGCGCGCGGCCTTCTCTTCGCGACGTCTGCATCGCATCGCGAGAATACTCGAAAGGCGGTAAACCGACTAAGGAACTGGCGAAGGAAGAACGTTAAACGCGCGTACGGGGCACACCTCGAGAACACCTCGATTATTGAACACTTAGGGTAGAGTTTTGGGGTCTGGACCGCCGAGCGAGCGTCGCACTCATTCCGTATAATCGACTTATGCGATCACGTCCATCGCGATCTTCATCGACAAATCGTACGAATGAACGAACGATCGATCGACGTAGACGCGAATATACATTTCGTGATGTGATCGTCGTTGCTAAGGTTGCTCAGTTTTCTTTCAAGAAACAATAGTTACGTGATCCGAATATCGTTTGAACGTTTTATCGGCTTGCTGATAAAATGTTGTCTGACGCGACAAGAAAAACAACATCAATCAGTTTCTAAGGAAAACTCGAGAAAATTACGATCACATCATTACACACACGGCGACACCTCGGTCGTATTTTGCGACTCTTTCGGCAGTAGACGAGCACGGAACGTCGCGAGACTATGCAACGCGCAATTACATACATAATATACTCATAATACATCCCCATCTACTACACCTCTTCAAAGAGCACAAACACAAAGGAAATACACGTTTACGCTTACTGGTTTACGTTACGTTTTCGTTTATCGGCTGCTCACGTATCGTCCGCCGTCGAAGAAGATTCTGCTCGTCCGAAAAGAATATTGCCTCGTCAATACGGACTTCAACGAACGGTGCGATGGTATTTACCTGCCCATATAGCACAGACAGTTACAACAACATTATTGCAACGTTGCAGCAATGTTACTGAAACTATTTGTGCTGTATGGGTAGTGATGAATGCGGGAGGTTAACAAATAAGAGACACTTACCGGGGAGACGAGAAAAAAAGATATTTCTTTCGTATATTTAATTGGACGAGTCCGTATCGACAAATCTCGGTTTACCCAGCCTGAAAAGTCGCGTGGCAGGTATTTTAAGTCACCGTTGTTGCTTCAATGCAACTGCACACGCATTACGCATGCACACACGCCATCACGCGCAACATATACGCACACACGTATATTACACACAACGTACACATAACATACACACGAACGCGTGCTCGCTGGCTCGTTGGCTCGGCTCGGCTCGGCTCGGCTCGGCTCGGCTCGGCTCGGCTCAGCTCAGCTCAGCTCAGCTCAGCTCAGCTCAGCTCAGCTCAGCTCAGCTCAGCTCAGCTCAGCTCAGCTCAGCTCAGCTCAGCTCAGCTCAGCTCAGCTCAGCTCAGCTCAGCTCAGCTCAGCTCAGCTCAGCTCAGCTCAGCTCAGCTCAGCTCAGCTCAGCTCAGCTCAGCTCAGCTCAGCTCAGCTCAGCTCAGCTAGGCTTGACTTAGCTTAGCTTAGCTTAGCTTAGCTTAGCTTAGCTTAGCTTAGCTTAGCTTAGCTTAGCTTAGCTTAGCTTAGCTTAGCTTAGCTTAGCTTGGCTTGGCTTGGCTTGGCTTGGCTTGGCTTGGCTTGGCTTGGTTTGGCTTGGCTTGGCTTGGCTTGGCTTGGCTTGGCTTGGCTTGGCTTGGCTTGACTAGCTGGCTGGCTGGCTGGCTGGCTGGCTGGCTGGCTGGCTGGCTGGCTGGCTGGCTGGCTGGCTGGCTGGCTGGCTGGCTGGCTGGCTGGCTGACTGGCTGGCTGGCTGGCTGGCTGGCTGGCTGGCTGGCTGGCTGGCTGATTGGCTGACTGGCTGACCGACTGGCTGGCTGGCTGGCTGGTTGACACAATTACACAGAGATCGCAATTTGCTTTTGATGCACAGGGCGTTCCGCGTTGGGGGGGGGGATCAATGATTTATAGCGAGCTGTCTCGCTGGCGTTTAAATCTATGAAAAACTAAGAAAATGAATTTATATCTTCATTTACTCTTTTAGATTTCTTTTATCTAAGTAAGAACGTTTCATCTTCTTTATCGTTCTTTCCTATACTCGCACCTCTTTTTCCTATTCATATATCCGCTATATGCACGTACATATCTTCATTTCTCTATATCCTGCACAATATTATCTTTTTGCACAATACTTTTCTTTTCTTAGGTTTCATGAGATTTGACATACATTCGGTGTTCACCGTCGGGACTATCAACGACATTCTCTTTCTTTCTTTCGTTAAACTTTCTCTTATGTCACTTTTTATCCTTATCGTATATCTTTTATCATCAACCGATAACATTTCAATATATCATTTACAGATTTCCTCTTTCTTTTCTCCTTTCGCTTTTCGGGAACCAAGCTGTTCATAAAACCTTCGGCACCACTCGTTTTTATCCACTATCATTTTTCTTTTCTTTGTTTAGTTTGTCCTCACGTGCGTGTATTTCCTGGCTTGACATATATGGAGTAACTACCCCGTGCTTTTGTCTTCTCTCCCAATCCTTATCTTATACTCCACTAGAACCGAATCAGAATCTTGCATTTTCATTTTTGCTATCTCATCCCATATGTTCGTCGGTGTTAATTAGTATGATATTCGCACTAATAATCGCAACTACTGGATCTACGCGATACATTTTTTCTCTCTCGCCGATCTTGACCCAGGCTATTCGGATTAAAGACTCGAATCGAATGATATTTATAATTAATAATGAATACTGCGAATGTGTTTTATATTCAATCGTATTTTATTATTTTTCTTTATTTCATTTATTTATTTATAACTCTTTCTCGCACATTTTCTTTCCCTGTCTCCCACCTTCCTATTCTCTTCTATTCTCATCTATTCTCATCTTTCTTTTCTTTCTCTCATCATTAATTATTTATTTCTGACATAAAACTAAACCATGTCAATCTAAATATATTGATTCGTCCATTATGATTAACAATTAACAGATGTACGAAGTATATTTCAGTGTCACGAGAGATGCCTAAAACCTTTTTAACGGATTTTCCATTATATTGAGCACTTCATTTTTATATCTTTCTCACTTCGCTTCTTCGCATTTCGATTTCGACTCTTTTGCACCGGTCTATTCTCTATACGTTACTTTTTAAGTCTCTTCTCTCTTATTCCTTTCCTTTTCTCAAATTCCTCTCTTTCCGATGTAGGGAGTACATGACGATCTTAGCGTATCGATTTCCACATATTGATCGACGATCAACAAAAGCCTATGAAGTTTCTTGGTAATAATGCAAAGATCACGAATCTACATAAATATGTCACTAAGAGTAAGAAGTTGGATGTGTAATCACATTCGGCATACATAAGGACGCACATAATTTCCTTTCTAATATCGCGTCTTAACGTCCTAATTATTTTGCATGCTTTATCGAGTATGTGTACATGTATCCGTTTTGCGCGTCGACTTTCTTTCTTCTTACATTTCGTTCGTTCGTTACTTTCCGTTCTTTTAGGCCTAACACGCGACACTTATGCAAGTGGTAGAATTACGCCGCAGCGTTATCGACTCGGCGACTTTTGTTTTTCTCTTCTTCCCTCTTTCCTCGTTCCAACTTTTTCGAGCGACGCTCGTGGAGCAATCTCGCCCAGAATTCAAAACAGCACCAACGATCATCACCTGAAAACTCTAATAGTCGCATTGTTGAACGCGGAGTGGGGAAAGCGAGCGGCCTCGTCCCAGTCGGCTGTTCGTATGGCGGTGGTGACGGTAGTGACGGTGGTGGCGATGGAATGATGGTGGTAATGGTGGTGATGGCCGATAAAAACTTTTCAACGATCTCTCTTCTGCTCCAGTCCTTCCTTCTTCTTTTCCTTCCTCGACGGTCTCGAACACCGGATTATCAAATTGAAACTACGAAACCCGGTATGCGCGTGCAAGCAATTGGCAGCAAAGCCAGAACGACGAGAGTGCTTTTTTTGTATTTCGCGTTGCACCTATAGCGCTAAAGGGTCTCATCTGTATCCGTATTACTGATCCCGTTGCCCTTTCCAGACTCTTATGCACAGTCTGAAAAGAGCTGGTATGAATTTTGCACGTGTCTTGCAACGTCGTCATTTTGCTGATTTTGATCGACCCGGTAATATACAGACAGACCCAGTAGCACGTCTCATGTGAAAAGTGTGTCTGTTCAACATAAGTAATTTACTTTTTCTTCTTTTTTGTTTTTTTTTCAGGTGTGAGTATGCGTCACATTCTCTCCCATCATTCTCTCCGTTTCTCCCTCCCTCCCTCCCTCTCTCTCTCTCTCTCTCTCTCTCTCTCTCTCTCTCTCTCTCTCTCTCTCTCTCTCTCCTTCCCTCTCTCTCCCTCCCTCTCTCCCTCTCTCTCTCTCTCTCTCTCTCTCTCTCTCTCTCTCTCTCTCTCTCTCCGCTCGCTCTTCCGATTCACTCTTCTCTTGCATGCGCGTTCTGTAATGTGTGATTAATTCTTCTCTGCATCTAATAGTAAGTTTCTTGCTCGAGCCAGCCGCCCGGATTCCGACGGAGGTAAAATCGTCTCGTCTCATCGTAGATAAAGATGGCAAACATAAAGGGCAGGGCTGGCAGCCACCATACGAATCTGAAATGTATACGAGTCAATTAATGTTAATCTAGCGTCATGTCATTCATCACCATCGACGAAAAAATTGTAAAATTTTTAATGTTGATAATAGCAATTGATAATATTCACTTCAACAAGTTAAGCGCGCCGTGTCATCCATATTTGGAGGACGCATACATTATCGCAGAGACCTCGTCGTGTTCATTTTCATTTCGTTCATGGTTTTACTTGACCGATTAATAATTGTTATATTTTACCAAGTGTCTAACAAGACAAAACTTTATTAACATAACAAGCCAAAAATTTGGGCTTGATGGGATTCACCGATGAATTCCAGGCAATTAACGTAATAAATTTATTGAGTTTGGTACTCATTAATAAGACGAATACACGAATATTCTCCGATAACCAATTAACACTTTGATAAAAATCCGGAAGGGCATTGGATACAGTTTAAAGAACGAGAAGAAATGTGCGAGTAGTACGTACTTGAGGGGGAACATGCGAAGACCCTTATCCATACCAGGCGTGTAACTTAGGAACGCCGCGAGGGCGGTCTCGAATACGAGACCAAAGTTAAGGGCCCAGTTTCTCATTCCTTGATGGATAATCGAGTTGCGGCGCGTTTTACAAACAATTAGATCGGCCCACTGTACGATTACGATCGACACGAAGAAAGCTGTGTGGCAGGTGAACTCCAGTGTCTTGCGGTCCCTGTAGGTCTGTTCGCAGATAAACACACGCACCAAATTATTCCACGAGGTTCCTCTTTCGGTAGACGATCAGAGGGATAATTTAATTGTGTTCGAGATCTTTCAATTACTCACCCATTCCTGGCCGTAGCTGTCAGTAAGATCATTGATAGCCTTGGAGTCCCATTGCTTCCGGATACCGAACAGATACAAGGGAAGGAATCCATTCTCGGCCATGATGACAAAGTAGACGAAGAAACCGGCCGCGGCTTGGATCATGCCGATTTGACCATATGCCATTGAGATAAGCCTAGAGGCAGAGCGAATACATCAAAAAGTGTTTTCTTCGCGAGAGAATCAACGATATACGAGACGCTGAACTTCAGGGAATACCGCTCTTCGTTGCAACATTGGCTTCGCGCACGAATATTTTACTTTGCGATTTTCAACGAAGTTGCAGTATCGTTTGCAGTGCCGAATCTCTAGATCGAAGTCGTGTTTGCAAAAGTTCAGAAAATAGAACGAATTTATTTGACTCATCATTACTCTGACTTTAGAGTTGAATTTGCCAAATAAAAATTCTTCAAAGAACCGCTTGAATATTAATTTTTTCGACCAAAAGTGATCTTCAAACCTCTCTGTGTAACTACTCTTCTTCCTAAGAGCTTTTTAGATAATCTTTTTTTCCGCCAAAAGATTGCAACGAAACGAAACTCGAGGATTATACATGTTATATATTTATTTTATAACAATATTTGCATTATATTTTATAACAATATTAATTTAGGAACAATATTTTGGAAAAAAATAATAGGTAAAATGTTTTTTCTTTATGAGCTATCTCTTCGGCTTGAAGTGTTCAAGAGATTATTTAAAAAATAAGAGAAAGAATTAAAATTATGCTGGTTTAAGGTTTCTAATACTGCTATCTACTATTATCTTCAATTCCATCTTTGTAATTTTAAGAGATGCGATATCTGAGAGAGAATATTTGTTTCCCTTTCATCTAGAAATCAAACTTTTTGCTCAGGAAAACAGTCCAAAATTTTTTACTATCGAAAAATGAAAGCCTGCAAATAACTTTTGACTCTGAGCTATTAGCTTCTCAATTACCGCACGGTAAGAAAAGGCGGAGAGCAGCTAAACAAGATAATATTCAAGCGGTATTCATTCATCTGTGAAAATCTTTGAAAATAACTATCATGACTAGCTTTTTTAAAGTTTTTTCTAGTTGATAAGATGCCTCGCATTCACGGGATCCCCCAAAATCCAGGAAGAACCATTGACATTGATTGTTCGACCTTGGTGTTATTTCTAGTAGTCTAGATTCGTGTTAATACGGAAGCCGTAGTCACCGATTAAGGGCAAAATGCAGATTACTTACCAACGATAGGCAGACGGTTAAACGATCGGTTCTTGACAATAAGGCATGCTATAAAGAGGTATATGAGCAGACGGACGGACAGTTAAGTAGGTAGACGGACAGACAGCCAATCGTCAGTCAAATAGTCAGTCAGTCAGTCAGTCAGTCAGTCAATCAGTCAATCAGTCAGTTAGACAGACAGATAAACAGACAGATAAGCAGACAGACAGACAGACAGACAGACAGACAGACAGACAGACAGACAGATAGGCAGGCAGGCAGGCAGGCAGACAGATAGACAGACAGACGGACAGGTTGGTAGCAGATAGACAGACAGACAGACAGACAGACAGACAGACAGACAGACAGACAGACAGACAGATACAACTAGCATTTGCTTGATCAATTTTCACGACGGCAAGTTATTGCAAAATGAGTTATCAGAGACGCGTGAAATACAGCAACAGTTATGAACACTTGAAGCTGCTTGTTAATTCCGCAGTTATCTCGCGCTATCAAAGATTATCCCGCACACGTGTACATAGAGTTTGTCGAGAGTTAGCGTTATCACAAAGCGATTGATTTGACTCGTGACGATGGATCGCTTCGGGCTGCAGATCGAAGAGTTCGAGGCAAGAAAAAGCGAAAAAAGTATGGATAAAAGAAATCTGATTTTTTTGTACATATATACGTACATCTTAAAAATCGTAAATTCTGAAAACTTCGGAAAAGTTCTTGTTCCGAATTCTCGTCTCAATTTGTAATTAATAAATCTGGTTGCGCGACTTTTTTGTCGCGCAACATAATCGGTGATCCGATTGTAGAGTCGCATTTAATGTCCTGACCCATATAAATGAGGGATTTTCTTTCTTGCTCCATTCAGATCGTAGATAAAAAATTACGACCTGAGGGAGAGACGGAAACGACAATCTGTAACGTCAACTGACGGTTCAGATTGTCCGGCTGAGTCGAATCATAGCGTGCCTTGATCTCTACTGTATGCCTTTTTTCTTACTTGTCATCTTCGCGCTAGATTGTACTAAAAGATTAATAAACGTGACAATCGTTCGAGACGAATGGTATACTTGAGTGTCATGTAAGAAGACATGCAATACAAGTCCGTGTGCAGGACCGGGCGTTACAAACACGTCGCATGCGACTGCTCGTGCTTGACGGATTTTTAAACCATATAATACACACAGTGAGCCAGAAGACCAGTAAAAATGGCCAAAACTCAATTTCTCGTTAAACATGTGGGAATATTGAATAATCATATGCTTACATAAGCTTTTCGCGATGTCGCTGATTCCATTTTTGATGTCAAAATTTTGAAATTCAAGATGGCAAAGTTTGCCAGTTGTTGCCAGATACAAAGTAGTCAATTAAATTCGAGGAATCCTTAAAAATAAGTAGCCTGAGTTATCAAACAGACGACAAGATGTTTGGAGATGACCTCATCTCCGACATCGATTTTCGATCATTCTTTCCAGGTCTACTGGCCCACTGTGCGACGCTCAGTTTAAACTTCCTGTCTTGATTGTTCAAGTCGGTGGCGGAAGCGCAAGTACAGACGAAGTATTAGTTTATAAAGAGCGAGCCAGCGTTCGCGCAAGCGTCGTGCCAGCGAAGAAGTACTACGCAAATACCACGAAAATGATTACAGTTCAGCTGGTGTAAAATCGACGTTAGAGAAATTCTCGTCGATGACGATGACGATGACGACGACGATGACGACGACGATGACAACAACGAGTATGAATGAAACTACAAAGTTGTGTTGTCGTCGGATACGATTATAAAGCGGTGGTGCGGCACAGAGATAGTATCGAAGAGTATCGAAGCATAGCGATCTAAAGTGGATCGTGAAAGTAACGCACACATCGCTGAAAGAGGCTGCTCTTTTCAGCTCAGGCCGTGCATCATGTTATCGTTCCAAATTCTCGAAAGCTGCTTACAACGCGCACTGATTGCTTGATTTTCACATTAATGAAAAGTAAGAGAAAAAAGTGAAGAAAAGAAAGACCCACGCAAGAAAGAAGGAACAGTAAAATCATAGGCGATATTAAGAAGAGAACACTCGCGCGACGAAATGTGCATCTCTCGGAAAAGAACTCGTTTCCGATCGCGTGACAAGCGTCCTTCCCGGCGACAATGATTCTCTTCTGCTCTACTGCCGATCCTATGTCGAGTCCACGTCTGTTTCCGGGGACATTTTTATGAGAGTTCATAAGTTTACAACATATACATTAGCTTAACGCGAAGACCGAATACCAAATTAATTTCCTAGCAATTTTATAACGGTATTTTATAATACAGATGTAAAAACAGTATTTTCGATATCGATAGTTTCGATTTCTGATTCCTGAACGTCCTTGAAACAACATTCTTAGCTTTATATCGTTTATGAACAAAATCGTGAGACAAATAAGCATTGCTGTACTCTCTAAAAGTGCACGATATTACCATTGACATTTCGATATGATAAAAATTACATAAAATATTTCTATCTCATTGATCGTAAGGTAAGTTGACATTCGTGATACATGTGAAAAAATTTCATCTTCGTACATTATTTTACACTGAGAAGACATGATATTCTCGGAAACACACAGATATTCGCGGACACATCGGATCGGGTAGGTGATAGATTAACACGTTCACTACTACAGTCCGCACTGTATTCATTTTACGTAATTGTATAACAGAAACAATTTGTTTATATGAACATAAATAGAAAATGTATTGCTATCAATACACACTAGAGATGTGCGAATCAAGAATTTTTATGTTGAATCGAATCATTAAATAATTTAACATGACTACTAAACATGCAAATAATGATGGAAGATTTTAATATGAAAAGGAATATTGATATCGTAATATCATCTTAAAGTAAAATATATATTTAAATATTTAAAGTAATTTATAATTAAGTTATTAATTATAAGTTAAGTTAATTACAAGTTAAGGGTTCAAACATACAGGCCCAGATTTGGCCCGTTTTGTAGCTGATGCGCGTAAACGCTAATATATTTGATTCGTATTCGTATCTTCGCGATTCGAAATTTTCGAATTATTCGGATTCGAATCATAGGGATTCGGATTCGAATCGAATCGAATTACATTAGATTCAAATTTGAATAGTTCGCACATCTCTAATATACACATAATACACGACGCTGGTCTCCCTCCTGTAATAGATCAGTGCGTCATACGTATATATATACAGGGTGTACCAAAAGTCTGGAAACGGTCGAATATTTCATAAATTATGCATTTTAGAAAGAAATATTTCAGACATAAGTTATTTGGTTCGAGGAGGGACATAAGATGGTGTCATTGGTTAACCTTGAGTGAACGTTTCAAGGTCATACGGAGTTCAACTTTGTTTTTTTAAATGGAAACCCCTATTTTTCATTGAATATTCTTGTAGCTCATCTCGAGAGCTTTTCAGAACACTATAAATAAGTTATGTTTCATTGAATATTTTCCGGGTAATGGGGCTTGAAAATTACAATACCGCTGGCATTAGCCAAGGTGTACTGTATGGAGGTTGCACAATCGGATTTACACCTCTTGTGTATGTGTGTGCGTGTGTGTGTGTGTCACAGCAGAGATAAGCAGCTACTTGTTCAAAGAATCTAACGTGGTCACCATATCCTCGCATCATTCGCAGTAATTCTTTCTGAAAAGAATCGACAGAAGATTCAATGAATCGGACCGTAGACTAGGGAGATTCAAATATCGAAATTATTATACTTTTCATAATTCTTTTCCAATAAAAGTCTTGCTACATTAATCGTTCTGATTTGACCTGTAAGTCGAATATTTTCCTATCCTGGATATATTCAGCTCTTCGTATTACGACACACTATCAAGCAACTGAGTGAAATTTCAGTGGCATCTAGAATGGTACTGTCTGAAAGAGAAAGAATTACTTTATTGAT